TGCTAAAGTGGCAAATAAACTTTTATATTTGTGGAAGCCTTTGTGAGAGGTGTCGGAGACACATTCTATTGACTCAGTTTATTAGCAATGCAATTCTTTTATAATCATTATACCTTTTTGTTTTTTAACCTTTTTGTGGCTGCTGGCTTCTGTATTAATGTAATCAAGTTGTAAGTGTTCCACCCTCGTATAAGATACTGTAGTACCACGTACATCACATGCAATCTAGGGGCTGATTGGTGGATTTGATCCTGCATATTGGACATAACTGACATATTGAACAGAATCTAACTATATTTAGGGTAAATTTAACCGACTGCAGGTAATGGAAATGTTACCACTCTTTTCACTGCTAAACGCTGATCAAGATGTCAGTCACAACAAGGAAATAGCTATAGGGCAATACACTGCTGCCAAACAGAGAATATAAAGGTATCAACCAATTTATTTGATTGACAGAAGTGTATTACCTAATTTTCCTGTCACGACTGTCAATTAAAAAATTATCAGTCAGTACCTGTTATGTTCTTGACTGGCCGCAGTAAAAAACAATTCATGACAGGCTGTTGAAATATTTGGGTTTGCAGAAAAATCGCAATAAGCTGGAGAATTTTCCTCATTTACTGGAACATTCCTCAATCCTTGACCCTTAAAGTGCCTATGACCCCTAACTCAATGTTTTCAGCATCGATTCTACATGAAGTTAAAAGTAAAATTATAGTAAAATATCTTTATATGATTTGAGTGATGCATCTTGGAGATATCAAGGTTTATACTTCCCTTATGCTAATGAGTGTGATGTCATAGTAGGCATTTGGGTTTGTTTGTCATCATTTTAAAATCAAAACACTGATTACTATGAGGAAACAAATTTGCAATAACCTTTCTGTAAACCCTGAGTAAGATAATTATGTTTTATACAGGATATTTTACTACCCCAGTAAATTTTCGTATATTTAATAATGCCTCCTATGACATCACACGCATTAGCATACTGGAAGTATAAACCTTGATATCTCCAACATGCATCACTCAAATAATATAAAAATATTTTATTATTTAACTTTTAACTTCATGTAGAATAAATGCTGAAAACATTGAGTTAGGGGTCAGAGGCACTTTAATGAAACCCCTCAATGTATGAATACACTGCAAGCAAAAAAACATTGGCTATATATGCCTGGTGGATTGTTAATTCAGTATATCGTAATATACTGTAACTTGAAATTCATGTAGTGTGTATTTACTTTGTAATCATATTTATTTTATACAGGACTCTGTTTAAACTAGCCTGTGCTAAATTAGATGTTCCTGTTAAAATATTGAATAAAATAAAATAAATTGATCCAGTCCTCTCACGATATGAAACCCAACAACATATATATAGAACTGCTCAAATAGATTAATTAGTTTCCCCTGCCTTCTCAAGTTTATTCTTATTGATTTATTTTCCAGTCCTTTCAAAAGCACAACAGAGCTTTGCTCAAGTATTGGATAACTTTCGCTTTGAATGCATTGGTGAAGTAGAAACTGATGATGAGATCCGCATTGGTAAGCAATACACCTTGTTATATATTTCACTTACTTTATCTCACCTCTGATTGGATTGCAACATT